TATATAAGAGTAATATATAAAAAGTCTGGAAAGGTAGGCTCGAATTGTTTCAGAGAATTTTCTGGTGGCATGTTGTTTCAAGAATCCTCTTCTTTGTTAAGAGGAAGCCAAGGGGACCCTGAAAAAGAATGGGAACAATCAGTTTGGAAACATTGCTTTGAAACTGAATTAGAAGATAGCATCATGGATTATGCCTCAGTACTTCTGATTTTATTAGCACAAGTGGTATTAGAAAAACACTTGGAGTTAATAGATTCCAGTCCTAGCTCTGAAAGAATTTCAGTTTGGGGGTCCAGGGACGTACTTGGGGCAAAAGATGTAATCAGACTCTCTTGTCCGTTTCCCTACCTTTTATCAGGAAATGCTTTTCTAACCCGGTGATTTTGTGTTAAGCCAATTGCATAGCAGAAAAATGAAAGACAGATCGTAAACAAAAATTATGGATCTGGAGTTAAAATGTATTGTGGGGTATTAAAGTCACAGAAAGGGACCAGGTCATGCATGGTGAGGTCAAGAACATGGCTACTGGATTGATTCTTCCCCCTTGCCTGTGTGAGAGTTATCTTTATTTAGCCTGTGGGATTTCCAACTTCTATACTCATCAGTGACCCCGCCCCAACTATGCACAATGTTGTAGACCGAGCTTGTAAGGATGACAGCAGGAAGATGACTTTTCAGCTCTACTTTCATATACAGAAAAGGTTCTATCTGCGATATAGATCACTGTTTCTTATTCCTCCCCCCCATTTCTAAAATGTATACTTTGTGGAGATAAGAAGGAAAAGCTACAACTTTAATTTAGAAATCCAAAGACAAAGAGACCAAAGGGATTACAGGAACATTTAACAGCAGCAAGGCATCAAAAGCTATGCAGAACAAGCAGTTTCTAGTTCTACTGAAAATAATTTCAAAAACCAAAAATATAAGTGTTGTTTCATATAACTTTTGTTTTGCAAAATTTCTCTCTTTACCTTAGCAATTACACATTGACAGTTCATAAATTAGGACCTTTTGCTGTTACCAACATCCATATGAAAAAAAGAGAGAGAGAGTCAGTTCTGAAAAAGTCATTGGGTATTTCAACCAGGATGAATAAATACACCATTACGTTTTACAGAAAATTGTGAAAATATGCATATATATGTATGTGTACACACATATATATTTGCATGTTTTCTATCTATAATAGATATCATGCTTTTTTATCCCAATTTTAATTTATAAAATAAAGAATCATCTTTTAAAACTCTGGTCTTTCTTACAGGCCAGGGTTTTATTTTTCTTCTCTGTTAAGCAGGTGTCCACAAGCAAAACAGTTTTCCAGAAGGAAGGGAAAGAGTAGAGAGAGACAGGAACTCTAACAAACAGATGGAGTTTTGAAATACGTGTTTCTTCACTAATAAATCTATGCTTATAATAAAAGTCTACTTGGGAAAGCAGAAGACACATTTATATATTACCTGAGAATATCTCACATTCTACTTTCAGTAGAAAATGAAGGAAGGAATTTTTTGAAGGGAATGGATGAGGACTCTTTATCTATACAAGGTCATATCTGTAGAAACAAAGGCTTCTTTAAAGCAGAGTGTGATACTGGCAATTTAGTAAATCGGTCAATAAGTATTTATAAAGGGGCAAAGGACAGTCCATACCCTTGTGGAGCTCACAGTCTAATAAAGAAGGCAATAAGAAAACAAATATATACAAACAAATTATATGTGGGATAAACTATTCAATCAATAAACATTTATTAGGCATTTTCATTCTAAGCACTAGGGATACAAATACAAAATTAAAAAAGGAAGTCAATCCTTGCTCTCAAGAAACTTGCAATCTAATGGAGGAAAACAAAATGTGAAAGGAAGTTAGAAAGGGGAGTGAGGGGTAGGAAGGTTTCAAAGTTGGTAGAAAAGTCATAAAAGTTCCAGTGTGGTGCAGGCAAATGACAAATGAAATGTTCTGAGCTGAATGCTCTACTTAAATGGAGGTTTGGAGGTCCTGGTTCTCCTCTTCAATTAAAGGGACAGAAGGTAGTAATGAGGTAGAGTGCAAAGGCTGTTGAGATTTTGCAGGATAATGAGGTTTTCCCAATAATGAGCTATACTTGTTGCTAAAGGAAGGTGGCAAATGGTGGGAGTGATCCAAGGCTGAGACTGGGCAAGGAGCAATTGACAATGTGATAAGGGAGCCCCAGAACTCAGGAGAAAAGGACAATGTAGAATTGAACTGATTCAACAAGGGCTCAAGATGGGGAAAAGAGGAAGGACAAATGCAGGGATGATGGTCTGGGAAAGAACTGAGGGATTGAGGTATTGGAGATAATGGTGTGGACGAAGAGTAGAGTTTGGTAAGGGAAGGCAGAGGGAGAGGTGGAAAGAGAATAGATTTAGCAAACAATTGAGTTTATATTACTTGTTAACATGTAACTATTTCTTAAATTGGAAAGGGATCTCCCCAAAGATGGAGGGAAGTTTGTGTTTGCATTACTTAATAATTAGTCAAATGAAGGAGTCTCATAAGGAAATGTTATAGATATGTGTGTATAGTATATATATATATATATATATATATGGCATATAATGTATATATGTATTTATAAATTTATGTGGATATGTGTGTGTTTGTGTGAACAAGAACCAGCTGCTATGGTGCTTAAAGAAAGTGGCCAACTGAGTAAAAAGATCCATTGGTTGCTCTCTTTGTCCCTAAGTTTTGAGTTTTGAAGCATGTGAAAATAGGTCTTGTTAAATACTTGGAAATGTAATTTTGGACATGAAAAGACCTGGAAATATCAAATGAATAAAGGTGACGTATAATCGGGAGTCATAAAAGTTACCCCTAATACAGATGTTTATTATCTGGATAACTTTGGACAACTTACTTAACCTCTCTGAGCCTCAGTTTCCCCAACTATAAAATGGAGATACTAATGTATATACTTCCTCTCTCATAAAATTGTGGTGAGGAAAACATTTTGAAAATCTTAAATCAATGAGAACCATGGTTCTGTTCACTAAGGCAAATGTCAACACATCAACATTTGTGCAGAGAACCCAACTCTGATGGGCTGGTGACTGTTCAAATGCCAAACATATGTTTGCCTAAAAGACTATTTTACAAAGAACTCATACAAGGCAAGCACTCATATGCAGGTCAGAACAAATGATATAAGGACACTCTCAAGGTCTCTCTGAAGAGCTTTGGAATGGATTGTGAGACCTGGAAGATACCAACACAGGATTATCCAGCATGGTGTGCCTATATCAAAGAAGGCGCTGTGCTTTATGAGCAAAACAGACTTGTAGTAGCTCCAAAGGAAGATGAGATGTGCAAATTTAGACATCTCCACTCAAAATGGGGGCTATTTGTGCCCCACTGGTGGTAGAGCGTTCTGATCTCATATTGGTCTGATTTGCCACAGTTGGACACACTGTATTTTGACCCTGACGTAGTAATGTCATTTTGATCCTATTTGAGAACAAAGAACAACAATCAGAGAGTCTTCATGAGTTGCTCTAACATCAAAAAAAAAAAATCACCCCTTGGTGACCAGCCTTAAGGAGGTCAGCCTTTAGGAAGCCTTCTAGGCTGGTTCTCAGATGGAAGATGCACAGTTCTTCTATGTACTCCTAAATGAAGCTTTACTACCTCGATTGAGCTTACCAGAGCTTATCCTCCACTGATTCAGCTTTCAAGAAAGCCATGTCACCTACGTGTCATGATGAAGAATCAGCACAAAGTTCTAGGGGAGAGCCATGGAACTGTCTTAATTAAACATATTGGCCAAGCCCCCTTTACTCCCCCACTTTGAAGATTTTATTGAACAGAGAAAGTCTGACAAAACACAGCTTCTGGCCCCTTGAACCTTCTTAGCTTAGAAAAAGCATTCTGATGTCTATGGGGAGGACAGTACAACATGGATACACAGATAACTAAATGCACACTGAGTAGAGACATCTGTATCCAGTATATAAAGAATTTGTCTTGAATACAAAAAACAGCATGAGTATACCATGAGGGGTGAAGAGCAAATGAACGTTTTCTGTGAAATTTCAGTGGCGTGTAAGTTTACACAGGTTGCGTGCAGCTGATGGGAATCACAGCTGTTTGGCCCTGGGAACCTTCACTCCATATGATTTGGAATCAATTCCGAACATTTTGTGTCTTTTCTTTTGAATAATAATAACAATGTTAACTCACATTTATATAGCACTTTAAGTTTACTGTGAGAGAAGCAAACATTGCATGCTAGAATGAGCTCTCAATTTAGACTCAAAGTATATAGGTTTGAATCTTGACTCTTAAATAATACTCATAAGATTTTAAGGAGGTTATCTCTTCTCCATGGCCCTCAGTTTCCTCATGTGTAAAATGAAGAGTTTGAACCGTCAGATCTAGTGGATGGGCTGCCTAGTTTTGCTAAATTACATTTCTTTCTTTTTTTCTTGTTCTCTCTCCCTTCCTTTCTTCCCTCCTTCTTTCTTTCTTTCCTTCCTTCCTTCCTTCCTTTTTTCTTTTTTCTTTCTTTCTTTCTTTCTTTCTTTCTTTCTTTCTTTCTTTCTTTCTTTCTTTCTTTCTTTCTTTCTTTCTTCCTTCCTTCCTTTCTTTCTTTCCTTTTCTTTCTTTCTCTTTCTTTCTTTCTTTCTTTCTTTCTTTCTTTCTTTCTTTCTCTCTCTCTTTCTTTCTTTCTCTTTCTTTCTTTCTTTCTTTCTTTCTTTCTTTCTTTCTTTCTTTCT